GTTGGCTGAAACCTGAGCTTTCAGCTTTTCAGCGTAGCTCCTCTTTGCTGCTCTGATCTCCCTTGTCAGTGTGTTCCTTGCCTGGCTGTACAGAGTCCTGTCCTCACTTCTGTAAGCCTCCTCTTTGGTATGACAAAGCTGCCTGAGTCTTGCTGTGAACCAGGGCTTGTTGTCGTTTTATGTGCAGAAGGTCTTTTTGGGCACACACACATTCTCACAGAAACTGATATAAGATATCAGTGTCAGTGAGTTCATCCAGGTCTGTAGCTGCAGTCTCAAATACACTCCAGTCTGTGCAGTCAAAGCAGGCCTGTAGCTCTGACTTAGCCTCCTCAGTCCAGCTCTTCACTGTTTTGACTACAGGCTTCGCAGCTTTAGGTTTCTGCCTGTAGGTTGGAATAAGATGGACCATATAGTAATCAGAGTCCGAGGGCTGCGTGGGGGACAGAGATAGGCATCTTTTATTGTTGTGTAGCAGTGGTCCAGTGTGATTTTGTCCCTGGTGGGACAGGTAATGTGCTGTCTGTATTTGGGCAGTTCATGGGTGAGATTTGCTCTGTTAAAGTCCCCAAGAACAATAAGTGGAGAGTCGGGATGTTCTAGCTCCACGCTAGTTATCTGTTCTGCCAAGAGCCGTAGCGCGTTAGCGTTAGCCTGCAGTGTTATGTACACTGCCATTAGCATGAAACTGTTGAATTCATGGGGAGAGTAAAAAGGTTTGCAATTGATAATGTTAGGTTATTTTTTAGTTAGATAGATATTCAGAGATTTGTTGTCTAGGACTGTTAGTGCAGCCAGGATGTCTTCCTCAGGCTGTTAAATGCAAGGTTAGTTAAAAGCAGAGAAAGGCGGCAGTCAGGGACGAATGTTATTATGACGGTAAAAGTAACCATAATATTTGTCTTAATGTGTAATGTTATGTCAAATTGTTTTAGATACACACCACGAAAACAACAGCCACACACATTATTTTCTTCATGTTTGGTCTACTGCTCTGCTCAGCTGCCAAGCTGGCATATCAGGTGACGTCACGGTTCGACAGCCCAGAAAGGATTAATATTGTATAAGCAATGTTGGGTTCGGGGGGTCTTTCTGTTTCCGGGCTGCTTTTGGCAGCGTGGGGTTGGAAGATCTCTGGACTTGGAGTGTTAATGCTTGCCTGTGACTCTTTGAATAAACCAGCACGGTTATATTTTTTTATATACTCAAGTGGTCTGAGTCGTCCCTCGGAGTTCCTGGTTTGAAAGAACCGGATGAGGCTTTATAATGGTTTTTAGGCCTTTAAGGGACAAGCACAAAACAGACAAATCTCATCAGGCTTTGAAGCCACACATGACCTCTTTCTTTATTTACTGTATGTGGTGTAGAAAGAAATTCTTGATAAAATGATATAGTGCTATGTTATGTTTGCAAAACTGTTTAAATAATTGTTTAATCTGTTTGACCTTTGTAAAAGGACCCGTGCACATGAAATGCTGTGTGTAAGTAGGTGTCTAAGTGCAGAGACTCAGAACAACAGGAGGTTGTGCAGATATAGACTGAGATGACTAAAAACTGTCTTCAAGAAAAGTTGTATAAGGTCTTATTGTTTTGGCTTCAGATTATCAACATTATATGAAATTCTAGGATTGACATTATAATCTGCATTAGCAAATATATCTACATGTTTACTTTAGTATCATATGCTTTATGATTTACTTTCATTTTAACCAGTTCACTTGTCTTGAAGCATATAGGAGACATGTGTGGGCTGCAAGAATCAGACAGGAAACCACACAGAACAGGAAGTAGACCAGGTCGCATAGCAACGCTGGCACTCTTCCTAAATCTGCAGACAACAACTAACTGTTTATAAAGATGAAGCTGCAGATTCTGAGGCTTGTGGGCCAGACATGTCAAGAAGAGAGGTGTCTGCAACAAGTATGCTTCAGTACAAAGCACTGATGGGCTGCAAAAAACCTGTACAGAGAATGTGAAGTTGACATCACACCATGTATTGACAGAAAAACACAGAATTTTTGACATTTTTGCAGATTTATTAAAAAAGAAAAACTGAAATATCACATGGTCATAAGTATTCAGACCCTTTGCTCAGTATTTAGTAGAAGCACCCTTTTGAGTTAATACAGCCATGAGTCTTTTTGGGAATGATGCAACAAGTTTTTCACACCTGCATTTGGGGATCCTCTGCCATTCCTCCTTGCAGATCCCCTCCAGTTCTGTCAGGTTGGATGGTAAACGTTGGTGGACAGCCATTTTCAGGTCTCTCCAGAGATGCTCAATTGGGTTTAACATTCCACTTCTGGGTCCAAACTCCCCCAGACCCAAAAGGCAGAGCCTGTCACACAATAACACCTTTTTTAATTTAGCAAAGCATCATTGAGAGTTTAAAAATAAAACATGACTATATTCTTAAAGGCCTTTTCAGATAGGTTCCACTTTTGAACCCATCCATTTCTCTGTGTTGCGCGGCACAAGAGTGTGTCTGTGGTTATGAGAAATGATACTTTCTATTTTCTGCACTTACTGTCTGTTTATGCCGTTCTGCTCGTAAAGCAGCTGCTGATGAATGTGGTTTATAATGGACTAACTGGACTTGGTCTAACAGTCTGTTTGGATGTCTGATCCTGACCACCATTTACAGAATGACAGTCGGTCATGTAAACAACATTTTGTTTTAATGGCACAACTCGGCTTCAGTGTGGAGTCAGAGGCGACTCGTCACTCTGTCAGTGTGAGGATACACTGAAGCAAAGCTGCGGCTGATGTTCCACAACACCCTCGTCCTGGAGTTTTATCTCAGCACTCCAAACATTAGCACTTATTCCCCCTGGTTTGGTCACAACAATAACAACGTGCAGGTTTGATTAATACTGGGCAGTTAATTTATCCTGCTGCTACTGTATCAGTGCACAAAGAGCATCTCTCTAATTCAAGGCCTGTTGGTTCACACACATCTCAGAATCAGTCAGCTTTACTGGCCAGGTGTGTTGGACGCATGAGGAATCTGACTCCAGTACAGCGACTCTCAGTGTGCATGAACAATGTTCTTCCGTAAGGCAACGAGTAGGCAATCTCCATATGATTCTAATAGTATCCGGCAGCTGATTAACTGGGCGTCTGTGGCTCATCCACTTTACAGTCTGTTATTTCTGTACTGAGCTGCAGGAATGATCAGTACGGCTGACTTCTGGCTGACCTGACCATGTTTTATGACCCAGTACTTAACTTAATGATCCAGTGCACACCTGCAGGCCTACAGTAGAAACAGTGAAGCAGTTTCTCACAATATTTTACACTTGGTCCTATTGGATTAACTGTGGTGTAGTCCTGAAGCTTTGGCGCCAGTGGGTGTCTTTTTTTTTTTTTTTTAAAAGAAAGAAAGTCACTTTCGGCTTTTCCCGTTTAGGGGTCGCCACAGCGCATCGTCACACTGATGACTCGCATGTTGACATTTGGCACATGTTTTATGCCGGATACCCTTCCTGACACAACCGATTTGAACCCGAGGCACTGTGGCGAGAACGCTGCGCCTTAACCACTAGCCTACCAGGGACGGCTCTGTCTTTTTTTTTTTTAAGCTTTACTGAAAATACACATAAACAAGGCAGTATAACATTTGCCAATATGGTGGGGACACTGGTGGGTGTCAGGCAAGCTCACATGAATGCACAGTTGCCTGGAGATGATGACCATTCAATACTTTATCTTGTTAGAAAAAAAGTATGGCGAGCGAGAGTTTGCGAGACGTGTACAAAGGAGTTGCTCCTGCATAAAAATACTAGAACATATGTACACCTATGTAATATTGAACACCCTGTCTGCTGACAGTCATCAACTCTTCTCTCTGATATCCTTGACCAGAAGTACCCTGTAGAAACTCATAAGCAGGCCTAAGCATTTAACAGTCTAACTAGACATCCTGTCTCCACTAAACATTTCTAATACATAAAGTACCTATCCAATATCTATCTGACTAAAAATACCTAACAAAAGCTCATCACTCCTTCAATACAATTAATATTGATGTGAGCCGAGTGCAGAGGCAGGTCTGAGAGGAGTTTCCTGTAAAGTGCTGACTCTCGCTCTGTTTGTCTGGGTTTTATTGGAGGACTTTTAGTGTGCAACAAATGCCTGGATTACAAAGACATTTCCAGAGCAGAGATCCTTCCCACTGCAGATACCCTTCTTCAGCATGATCCACATTTTCAATTTATCACAAGACAATGTAAAGACTGAATAAATGGAGGTGATGCAAACAGACAAGGAGAAGCTTTCCAAATAGTCCCAGCCTTCAAATGCATTAATGTGACTTTCACAAACTGTATTAAATATAAACTGTGATGAAATACAGACAGGTAGGGTCCAAGTGTCTCCTAAAACCTGTGACACACTGAGCCAACGGTCGCCCCTCAGCCAATGTCGGGCCATCGTGTGTCCATTGACCTAGCTTTTGAAGCGCGTTCTGCACTACAGCTGTCACTTTTTAGTGCCTGAAGGAATAGAGTGTATCTGCTGTGGGGGTCGGGGGGTGTTGGCTGTATAATGCAGCCTGTGTAAAAACACACACATCCCTCAAAACCCACAGAATGTATTTAAATTACAGGCTATGCTGCTGTGTAGGCTGTTTATGACCTGAAACCAGCCTGAGGCAGATGGCACATGACAGATCTCTCCACAACACCCACTTTCACTTCTTGTGTTTCTTTGATATTCTCAGAGACAGACAGAAACACAGACATCACCTAGATCATATAACAGTACGACAGGTTAACGCTATCTGTTTAAATTATCTTTCATTAAATACTACAACATACTTTAAATACTACAATATCCATGAGCCAACACCTCAAAATGAAAGTGAACAGTGCTTGATCTTCCATCCACTGTTAGCATGTTGGACCTCTGACCGGAGGTTTCCTTCATATCATGTCAGCTGTTAATCAAAGAACATCACAAAAACATCAAGGCTAAGGTGCCAGTAAAATTCATCTGAAGAACCATCTTGAATTTAATTTTCCCAAACACTGCAACTAAAGATTTTCTTAAGAGACAGAATTATCATAATAGTTTTATTCAAGTTTATACTTTTATCATGAATGTTTTGTTGAACATGGTTAAATTAGACAATCAAAAAGAGCTACCACACATACATTAACTAGCCCAACCATAACAAGCTAGCCCGTTAACAACAAGCATTAATCTGCACCTACACAACGTGAAACTGTGTATGAAAATTAGAAATTATGAAGGCATGTCTGTGGGGACATACAAAGACGTCAATTAGTGGAAAACTGACCTGTTCCTGCTTGTACTGGAAACCAGCTAACATGGCCAGTTAACATCCCAAATATCCTCTGGCACTTCCGCTGTCAGTATAGCATCCATAATGTGTTTAAATCCAAGCTCACAGCAGTCAGAACGATTTCCGACAAGGTGAGTTTGAGTCAAGCTCCATTGTGGACGTAGAATGTTTCCCCAATTTCCGGCAATATCACGTGTGTCTGTTTAATTAAAGCCATAATGCAGAACGCGCATGAGCCACTGCTATTAATTACGGACATACGTCACTGCGGCCGCCATGTTGACACAGGAAAGCTGCGCTTCCCATGCATATTCAGGCCTATGTATTCACGCGGTCCCCTTCCAGCTTAAACAGATGGAGGATATGACAGGATATTCTGTACTCTTCTGTCGATCCGGCACTATATCCTTTAAAGATCAGCAACATAAATGTGGTTGATGAGCAATGTTCTAACTGTGGTGTATAAAGCCATGTGTGTACTATTGTGTTGAGCCTGAAGGGGGAGTTCATATACATATCAAGGTAGCGACATGCGGGTGTGCTGATGTATGGTGCCTAAATAAAACCAGCCACGTTTTGGAACTAGCTATGCCTCTCTTGTCCTGATTCTACCGAAGGTAAACTCTAAATCCAAGTCTGTTCGACACAACACTAACTCCTTTATCAGAGATAATACATGTTATCCTTCACCTGCAAGAAGAAACTATGTATTTGATGGTCTTTCAGGCCATATGGCTTGTGAAATAAGAGATACATCTCATTCCCCATAATTCCTAAAGCCAAAGAGGTGCATTTCAAGATGTTGAATGAATTCTACCCCTCTAAAGAATTCTTACGATTGAAATTTAATATGGATGAGAACTGTTGTACTTTTTGGTAACTCTGAAGCAGAGACCACAGATCATTTGTTTTTCTATTGTAATCTTACATTAAACCTTTTGGGCATGTTTAAATGGTTGGCTCAGGTCCAAAATTGATTTCTTAAGCAAATAATATTTGCAGTTGAATATTTCTTCCATTACAGATTACAGATTTAGATAGGGCCAGTGAAAATCTTGGGGTGTCACAATGCAATAACTATCATTTTGGCAAAATATTATATTCATAAATGTAAATGAGTAAAATGCAACCTTGTTTAGATGCATTTAGGCATGAAATAGCTACATTTAAGAAAGTCCCTGGGCTGCATGAGTGTTAAAGGAGCCCGAGGTCATTTGTCTGCAATTGGACAATTTGATTTATTGTAAGCACTAACCTCCAAAGGAAACAATCCGGGTCAAAACAAAATACCAAAACCGAAAATAATGCTGGAAAGTCAGAGCTGGCATCTAGAACAATCTGGCAGCATCCTGGTGGGAGGACGCTGCCTAAATAGAGGTGAAGAACAGGTGCAAACAATAAGGAGCAGGTGAAACTAATGTGAGTGATTAGTAAAGTAAAAAGACCGAAACGGAGGTGAAACAAAAACAGGAAGTAAGGTCAAAATAAAAGCCTGACAGGAAGCAGCGGAACCGAATCATGACATGATACTTCCCACACCATATCCAATGTGGCGTGTTGATTCCTTTGAATTGTGCAACAGTCCCACATAATGCGAAAATGTGTTGGCAGGTGTGTATTAGAACGTTTTAGACAATCAGTATTTATATTTATTTATTTCTACATTCTTTTAGGTTTTTAAATGTTGTAGCTCTTTTATAATTTATGCACAGAAGGATTGCATTTTAAATGTTGTTGTACAATGTACAATGACAAATAAAGCCGTTCTATTCTATTCTTCTGTTCTTAAAGGGGAAGGCCTGGCCTGTAACAACGGTCTCTGTCTGTGAGCCAAAGCTGCTGTGGCACCTTCTCTGCCATAGCTCACTAGCTTTAGCTATCAAAACAGAGCAGTAACGCATCTGCCTGCAACTGAAATGCCTTGTGGGAAACTCTTGGCTCATGCATTGAGTGCACACAAGTAGGAAGTAGTTTGACAGGAAGGTAGGCTGTCCAATGGTTTTGCAAGTAACATTACTGGTCAGTCTTTGTTCAGCCCTGCTGCTGCCACAGGTTTGTTTCTTTATGTTGTCAGTGGATTTAATATGTTCATCGGGATGAAGAAAGAAATTCAAGATATGTAACAAAAATGCTTCTGAAAGTAATCACCAACCCTACCTTCTCAAAATGTTCTTTTTTCTCATAATAATTGTTTGAAAATTTTAGTTTATATTACATACATTTATTTTTTGTTTTGTTTTTTAAATAAAAGCTGAAGTTCTGCCATGAGTTTCCTTTCTTCAGGGTCAAAGTCTTATCTTATGTCAGATGTACTGTTGCATGACTGATGCCCTGTGAACTGATGCACGAAGAGCAAACTGTCCAGTGGTTGGTAGAATTAATAAAATATCATCAGCAACTGTTTCCTGACATTGCAGCAATTGCATCCATTTACTTGTGTAACCCTTGTGTGGGAGACACTGAAGGCCAGAATACTCTAAGTCCGTTGGCTGATTAATGACAGAGACACTCATGAATAACCGGGACACTCAGATTGCAGGAATAAGCAACTGTATTAATACGCATCAACAACAACACTTACAATAATGACAAAAATGAATAAAGCCGGCATATAATTTTTTAAAAGGAAATAGTCCCTTCATGGGTGCACCCTGAATAAAATAACCAAATAAAATAGTCCAGCTCCCGTCCCTTGGAGCAATAACCATATAGTCCTACCGCATACACAATGAGGCAGGTGACGATTGCAGGGAGATTCCAATCCCGGTACTCAATTGGTGGCTCGCCACTCCCCATCAAGGAGAGACTCCAGTTCACGAGTAGGTCCGTTCACCATCCAGGATCCAGGGCAAAGAAAGGAATGACCAAAAGGGGGAAAAAACCCCCAGCCTGTATAACAAAACAGGTGATTTGTAATATAAGTATACAAAGTTATTCACACTCTTTTTTCCCCATAGCAAAACCACAGTGAGGTTTCCTGTGTAAAAAGTGACTGAATCTCATTCTTGGGAAGGACAGAATATGGAGTTATTGCACCATCGAACACACTAACACGTTCAGTCGGTGAAACAGTGACAGAAAAATGTTGAGTTCACTTACGGGACAGGCAACATGCTAGTGCTGATTTTCTTATAGAAGTACCTGACCAATGAAAACATGATACAACTAACAAAAAAACAAACAATGGAATAATCATTGCATGTAAATAACACACATTACACCAGAATATTGCATGCAAACCAACAAAACCAACAAGTGGAGTGTGTCAACTGTTGGACCCAGTTCTTTTCACCGTTAACTCTGAGAGACGAAGCAGTCCAGGTAACTTCAAAACAGTGCTGATTTATTCAATGAACACAGGTAAAAATTAACATTACACACTCAGGAGTCTTTGCACCTCCAACATGCACGCAGGCAGCTGAAAGATGAAAAGCCCTGAACCATAACAGGCCTATACATTATATCACTTTGGGCTAGCCCCACACTACTCAGAGACGCCAAACCGTGACGTCTCCCGGTGCCAGCTTTGCAGCTGGCCAGAGCGATAGTCAAAACATGTAGAAAATCAATGTGTGATTGTCTGTTGATTGTGTGGTGTAAGACATTCTGACATGACATTAAGCATAAGAAAATATTATGACTACGATTATGGTTAAACATCATAACAATAATAATAAACCTCCTGTCTTCTAACAGTAATCAACTTTCTATCTAGTTATCCTTGAACCTGAACAACCTGGAGTACCCTTATGGGAATGACTAAGCATTTAACAGCCTGAGCTAGACATCCTGTCTACACTAAACATTTCTAATACATAAAGTGTCTAACCAATGTCTATCTGACTAAAAATACCTAACACAACTCTCCTATAAAGGTGAGGTTTCCTGGCCACCCAGCGATGCTGCCTACCTGCCTGTCTACTAACAACACTTGATGTGTTCCTCTTGCTCACAAATTGATATGAGACTTTGTTCAGCAAGCCTTGTCATTTTTCCACAACAGCAATTTGGTGAGTTCCACTTGAGCCAAACAGTTTAGATGTTCTGTCCTTCCTAAAACGGTAGCAGCAGCACAGTGTTTGGTGGGCGAGTTAAGTTCAGACAGCTGAAAATGTGTAGCTAATTTTCTTACATGAATTGGCTTTAAACATTAGATCTATTGCATAAAACCAGCAGAATTGAGGACTTCCGGTTGATACACCACCAAGATGGCTGTGTTGTAGAGGAGCCCCTGAAGGAACCAGAGAAAGTAAAGATAACCCCCCTTGAATTGAAGTTAGAACAGGAAAACCAATAGCAATAGAGTTTAAAATCAAGAGGGGGTGAGAAATACGCCAGAATATACTCTCGGCAAAGAACTGTAAGTAAGCGAATTAACTCGAAGAGACAAGTTGGATAACCGGCGCTAGCACTAGCTACCACTGAATAAAGCTAACCACCGTAAGACAAGGCTATATAAAAGCAATGACAGTACGACACATTGGAAAGTATCTTGGGCGGGGAGAATATGGCAGACTACAACAAACTTGCCGAGTTGCATGAAGTACTTTTGCAAGAAATAAGAGGCTTTCGCCAAGAAAACAAGGAGCAGATGGAAGGCATCAGGGAGGAGTTTGCAAAGGTAAACGGCAGACTGGATGAAGCTGAAGGTAGAATAGAGAAAGCGGAGGAGAGGATGCAGTGACTGAACTTGTGAAGCTACACATTAAGTTGGAGGACAAGTTAACGGAGTTGGAGAGTCGTTCTAGAAGAGAGAATATTAGGATTTAGGGCATGCCAGAGTCAGCAGAACGAGACTCCCCATCAATGAGCGCTTTTGTGGAGACGCTGCTACGGGAAGGCTTGGAGCTGGATGAGTCAGATATCCACATCGAACGCGCACATCGCTCATTGGGCTCTCCCCCGCCAAATGAGGCTCCTCCACGTTCGATAGTCGTTAAGTTTCTAAGTTATAAGACTAAAGAACAGATACTTCGCAAGACCTGGTCAAAAAGAGGGTTCACCTGGAATGCCAAAAAAATAACATTGGATTATGACTACCCTCCTCTCATTCTTAAGAAGCGGAAGGACTACGCAGATGTGCACAAAACTCTGAAAGAAAATCAGGTACAATTTCAGACCCTCTTCCTGGCCAGACTGAAGATAAAATACAGTATACTGATGGAGTCACAATATACAACACGGTGGAGGAAGCGAACGAAGATATGACTAGGAGAGGCTACATGGTGAAGATCATCAAACCGCCTGACACAATCCTTGAACAGCTGAAGCGGCTGACCTGGAATAGAGCGGCCAAAGGGTCCAGGAGGCAGCAGAACCCAGGATCAGA